CCCCGGCTGAGGGCGGCTCTCAGCGCCTGCCTGTTGTCTGTGGGCCGCAGCCCCCCATTCAGGTGTACGGGCTGGAAGGGCGCTATGCCACCGCGCTGTACTCCGCCGCCACCAAGCAGAAGAAGCTGGACCAGGTTGAGAAGGAGCTGAGCCGGGTCTGGGTAAGGTGTTCCGCCTGCGCTGGCACGGGGGTGGGAGCAGCGGGCCTTGCCTGCTGCTTCATTTCAGGAGAGGAGTGGGCTGTTGCAGACTGTGAGGCTCCCACTTAAAGCTGGCCTGGTCTGCACTGCGCCCCCAGTGTAAAGCTGCTTGGAAGTGAGACAGGAGGAGCATCAGCTCTGAAAGAAACATACTGTAAATGAGCTTATGCCTGGAGCTGCCATTTCACTTTCCATCAGGCTCAGACCTCTTCATCCTTGCTCAGGGAATGACTGTGTTGCCTGCTTTGGGTGGTATAGTTGGGCCTTATAATGCCTGGAAAATTCTTGGCCTTTGTCATGTTATTTGTGTGTTCTCTTAGACTATTTTAAAGGACCCCAAGCTATCCAGTGTTGTTATGAACCCTCACACCAAGAGTGCAGTTAAACAAAAAGCTGTGAATGATGCCCTGGCAAAAGAGAAGATGTCCCCTATTATTGTCAACCTGATGAGTGAGTAGCCATTTGACTTCAGAAAAATACCTAAGGCTATTTGTTAGTAATGTTATCTCACCAAATCTGCTTCTAGTGGGTGCATTAAACTTACAGTGCATCTGCCTTTTTCAGACTTGCTTGCTGAAAACGGTCGATTGCGTTACACACCAGACATTGTTTCTGCATTTGGGAAGATCATGAGCGCCTACCGAGGAGAAGTGGTGTGCACAGTCACCACTGCACAGGTGAGTTAGAAACCTTGAGATCAAGCATAGCAGACAGCAGTATAAAAGACAAATTTCTTTAGCTTAATTTTGCTCTCTGTAGTTTAAGTACCTGTTATATGAGTAGTGAGGAAGTACCTCAGCCCCTACCAAGATGAAAGTCTTTCTGTAAATGTTCCCTATATATCTGTATCCAGCAATCATTGGTCTAAAAACAGCTTCCCTTCCTGTGTGTGAAGCTGATGGCTGATAAAAGTTAGCCTGATCTACAGATACAACTGTTCTTATTTCTGTCATTGAGGTTGTACAGATCAGGTCAGAACTTGCAGATAAACTATTAACTAGAGCAAGGCAGATACGTGATGGGACTGAGAATGCTTGTGGTGCTTGGGGCTGTGCTTCACTGGGAGCAGCTAATTCACCATCTGCAGTACCTGGGACAAGTGACTATGAAACGGCTGGAAGACTTTTTCAAATGTAGGCAGACAGGCAAGCCTAGCTGGTGCTCAGGGAGGCAAGAGGGAAGATGGTGTCTGCATAAGCTGTAAATGTCAAGCTGGAGGAACGATGGTTCTGGCACTTCAGTGACTTCTTCGTTAGTGGATCCACGCACAGGTCTGTTAGAGTGGGAGGCTGGTCAGCTTGGTACATGATGCAAATCTGTAGCCCTTGGGTCGGGCTGCAGCAGACTGCCTGCCTGGACTAAATAGGTTGGTCCACTTCAGTTTACCTGGCTTCTTGTAGGCCACAAGCACAGGTTGTTAGTCTGGTTGGTAGCCTTCAGGAATGCGTGAACTTGCAGACCTGTGCAAACGTTTCCACAGGTTTTCATGAATACTTCATATGTAACGTTATTTTACTGCTGCTTTTTTGTTGTTAGTTTCATTTTGGCCTCTCAAACTGTTAGCTGTTAAATAGAAATCATTTAAGCTGCCAGTAACACAAAGCCACTGCGCTTTGGTGAAGTCCCTTTTGTTTCTGTCTTGGTGGTATCCAAGTGCCTTGTAGGGAAGGTGAGGACAAATGCACAGTGTCTTTTCCTACAGGGATGCACAGTTCTTCTGTGGTAACTGAGAGGTATAACTTAGCCAGGAGCGCTTTGCAAGGCTGCAGCAGGGCTGGGAGCAACCTGCCAGTGTCCTCAGTCACTGCCCACTGCTTTACATGAAACTGTTTCTTCTTAAGCTGATCTTAATTATGAGAAGCAGGAATATTAATCTTGCCTTGTACCGCCAGAACTCTGCTGTGAGGCGGATCTCGAGGTTTTCCATTAAATGCTTACTTTGGCAAGTATGGATTCTTGATGCCATCTGAAGATGTCAGCATCGAATTTCTGCTGGGAGTATGTGCACAAATAACACAATGTTGCATGAAATTAGGAGGGCACAAAATGACTGTTTCTGTGCTGTGGTTTGGTTATTCCTGTTCAAGAAGCTGCTTAGGCTGCCTTCCTGGTGGAAGTGTCTGTCTTGAAAAGAAACTGAATAGAAAATTTGGGTTCTTGAAATATTATTTTAATATTTTCAACTCCGGTTTCTTTGTGTTCTGTTCATATTTTTCAGCCCTTGGATGATGCCAGCCTTACTGAGCTAAAAAGTGCTCTGAATGGATTCTTGGCTAAGGGAGAGGTCTTGAAGCTGGAGACCAAGGTTTGGCGTTCTGATTTGTAAATAAATTTCATCAAATTCACGTTAAGCTGGACTTTTGTCTCTCCAATCTAAAAAAAAAAAATAATCATTTTACTGAGTCCAGTTACTATACTACATAGTTTTGTGCTTTCTTTAGACCTGATGTTGCTTTAATTGCTAAAGCGGTAACTTTGGAATACAGTCTCTGCAAAGTTGTCTTGAAAAAGGCTTTCTTAAAACCTTTTTCCTTTTTTAATAGTGTAAAAATTGTATACTAGGCTAAAAATTTTTGCTAGTAGAATTTCTGTTCAATGTTTCTTCTTTAGACTGATCCGTCAATCCTTGGTGGCATGATTGTCAATATTGGGGAGAAGTACGTGGACATGTCAACAAGGTCAAAGATCCAGAAGCTCACCAAAATCATGAGAGAGACCGTCTAGCAAGCTGTCCTTGTCATCCACAGTGAAACCTGTCAGATGGAAACAATAAAATTATTTCTTCCTGAATGGGCGTTGTGAAGTGTATTGATTCAAGAAACACAGAACTGTGGGAGAAAGACAGTGAAGCTGCAGAGAGTTTCACTTAGTTCTCACTGAATGTTTCATGACACCGCTTGAAAAGTCGAGTTTGTGTGGGGGTTGCTCTGAAGGAAGTGGAAAGTAATTTCTGCAGGAGCAGATCAGTGGGGTCACCGCTGCCGAGGTTCTCTCGGTCTCCAGAGAAAACTTCTGTTCGGGATGTTGTCAGAGCAGCAGAGTTACAGTCCTGCTGCTGCACGTGCTGCAAGGTGTGAACAGTGGAGCCACAATGAGTAGATGTTTCCAGAAATATGACAGTAGCTGTTAAAACACTGGTGTCATCGGTGTATTCTTGGTAGCAAATTCTCTGTCCCGCCCGGTGCTTTCTGTGGTGCTTCAGGTGGGAGTAGATTCCTGTCCAGGGTGGCATTTGGCAGGGTGAGGGGGCTGCTGGAGGCCTGCGGCTCTGGGAGAACGCCCCCAAAGGGACCTCCCGCACCCCCAAAAGGACTTTGCACCCTGCTTTCCACTCTTCGTGCCACTGCGTAGCAGCAGTGAGGCTGTACCCGAGGCAGGCATCTTTCCAGAGCTCAGTTCGGCAGCTGAGGTGCCAGCCCCTTCCCACCTGGCTTAACGTGGCCCAGAAAAAAGAGCCCCCAACGGCCAGCGAGCTTCCAGAGGTGTGTCCCGTCTCACCCACCGCTGCAGCAGCTGTGGTTCACAAACCAGGGCTTTTGACTACAACCCAGCCCTGAAACAGTTCTTAAAAAAAAAAAAAAAAATATATATATACACGCACATTCTCAAGGTGCATGTGTTAGCAGGTGCTGAACTAAACAAAGGAAACAGCTGCTTAATAGGGTACCAAGAGTGTTAGCCCTCAGGGCAGCTGGCCAAATTTGGTAATTATTAACAAAAATTAGGGGAGAGGTCAGTGTGGGACTAGCTATTCTCAATGCAGCAGAGGCACAGGCGGTGGCTGACAAGCTGCAAGAGTGTGGGGGTGTGGGGTGTGGGGGTGGTTTTATAACTTTTTTCTCTTTGCTAGTTTATTTATTTCTTCAGTCTTACTACAGATTTGGTCAACTCTCAGTCTTCGAATCTGAAAAAAACCCCAAACAATGGATTACAGAGGTGGAAAGTGGTGTGTGTCAGATACCAGATGCTGGTAAGTTATTTCCCCACTGCTGAGTCTTACCGCTTTGCTCAGAAGTACTTTTGTCAGAAATACTCATCTAAGATTTACTTAATGTTTGTGGCACTGTATCACTCCACCACTTCTCAAAAATGTGACAGTACGCAGTTAAACTTTTTTTAAAAATGGATTTATTCTTGCCTAATTTGACTTGCACAACTACAGTCTCATCCGTGTCAAACAAATTGCACAGCCTAAAAACTGTTATCGGCAGTTTCCACCTCAGTGACTGCATTTGGGGAAGCAGCACAATTCCTCAAACAGGTGAGTGCTTTTTAAGGACTTTTGTTTAGTTGGACATTGTCTGTAAATAGAATTATTTAACTGAGCATGGCTGAGGAAACAACACATTCACAGCAACCAAAGTACAGTTGAAATCGTCTTATGAGAAACAGTGGTGTCCAATTTGTAATTATTCATTATATCTATTATGGATGCTTTAAAAAACCACGGGAAGCCAATGTCACAGTATTAGCATTTTACTGTAGAATACTTAGATGTGATGTAAATGAACAATATGAATTAATTCAATTTTCTCTGAGAAAAAAAAATGAACTTTTTCTCCTATTTGGCCAGATTTATTTTATAATGGCTTTGTCATTTTTAAGGATCATATGAATACTACAGACAGTACAATACTTTTTTAAGAGATTAAAAAAAAGGGACCTAATTTATACCAATTGTTTGTCAGCAAAAAGTGCACTGAAGAGTAACACCACCACCACCAGCAGGGAGGGGGAATTCCCCAATCCCCAATCCTAAGTATTAACACTGAAAAAAAATACTATGGCTATATACTTTTTTTTTTCCAAACAGTTTATCAACGCAGTAGAAAGTACCCATTACACAGTCTGCAAAGGCTGCTGGACTCGATGTTTGCTTTCCAGCAAGTTGAGGACTGGAATAGGGTAATTCCGCACTGGCTGTTACTGGAGACGAAGCCTTCCAGGAAAATCTACCCCACTGAGAGGCGGCTTTGCCTTTTCTCCACAGGACCAGAGCTGTTTTGCGGTGGTGGTGGGTGCACATACCTGTGGTGGGGGTGGCTTGCTATGGGCCTCGCCTAGGTGGAAGTGGTGGGGTGTGGTGCAGGAGAGTAGATGCAGGTCCCTCTGCACAGTGCTGCCCAGTCATCCCCAAAAAAGCAGCCCATCCTAGGGTGAGCGTGGTGGTGCAAACCTAGGAAGGCGTGGTAAGATGGGGCAAGAGTAGGGGGAGTGAGTTGGTCCAAGCACCCAGACCAGAGCTACGATCCCGCACCCAACCTTCCCTCTTCCTCCTGGCAAGAACAAGTTACGCCACAAGGCTGTCCCCATGGAGCCACCACCAGAGCTGGGAGGGGTCCCCCTTCCCTTCCATCATCTGATGGACACCCATGCGTGTTTTTTTGGGGGAGAGGGTCCGAGATCCTGCTCCTCACCAAGCTCTTCCTTTTTAGCTCTGCCTCTGTTTCTCCCTTTTCCCCTACACCCCTGCATGCCAGCCCTCCCCTTTCAACTGCACTCACCATGGTGGGCAGGATGGGGGCTCTCAGAAGAGGCACCAGCTCTCTTCGTTTGCACGACACATTAAAATCCGTGAATGGAGCACTAAATTCAGGCTTAGTGACGCTTTTGCAGCTTTACAAGCAGCACAAGGAACCCACCTATGGTCACAGCACAGCCTTTGACAACTACATCAAGCAATTAGGCTAGCTTAAGACATTCTTACTGCAGTTCTTTATTCTTTTAAATTAGGTCCTAAATACATAATATCCTATGTACAGAAAAATAATTTCTCAAGGACGGTCCTTATTTTAAAATATTTAAATGAACAAATAAAACTGGGTGCCTATAAACGCTTTTCTGTTAGATTTACTCAGCATTTGACAACAACAACATAGCTGTGTTATTCTATTATATATACAAATAATCACATATATATATATAAGTACGTATTGAACTATAGATACCCTGGTAGGCATGTAGGACAGGGGCATTGGGGCTAAACAAATGCCAGGATACATGTGGAACGTAGGTACAGAGCAAACTCCTCAAAGCTAAGGCAATTTAACCTGATTCCCAGCTTTTCTGTGTTTCAATGGTTTTGGCTGGTGGATTTGACTAAATGGCAGTATCACAGTGGCAAGCAGAGCAGTATGAAACTAGGCACCACTGTTGCAGCAGAAGTCTGGACTTGTCACATCATAGTTTTGAAAATGCATTTAATAATACTACAAAAACTGCATTATCCACAATATGTCCCCCCCAACCCTACTCACACGTAACAAAAATTAATTTATTAATGTTTAAAGGGTAAAAAAATTGTAAAGTGAACATTTAAAAAGTCCCTTCATAAAAACTCACGTTGAGTAAATATATAATAATTCAGTGCATCTACAAAAAAAAAAAAGTTCTGTAATTTATCAGTTATTGGCTTAGTGTCAGCTCAGCAGCACGTGCTGTCTTTCGCGGTGCCCAAGTCAAGTCACAGGCTGCGTGCAGGCTCGCTTTACAGAGTGGCTTCCTACCAGCACTATACTTGGCAAGGGACTTGGTATTTCCAATGCCAAGGTCAGCCTAGTGGTTTTTTATTTTACGGTACTTCCAAGTGTGTTGCAGCCTGTAAGTATAACAGTTATGACTGGCCTGGAAAATACAATTCTGGTGAGTTTAGTGGTTAAAACCGCTTTAAGGAAGATAAGAAAGATAACAGATCCAGCTGCAAAGACTATGAACTATTTCTCTATTTTACCTTAATCTTGGCATTTTGCTTTTTGCTCTGTTGCAATCTTCCCCTCTGTTGCAATGCCCCCTCCCTTGAGGTGTCCAAGGCCAGGTTGGACAGAGCCTTGAGTAGCCTGATTTGGTTGAGAGGCGTCCCTGCCCATGACAGGGAGGTTGGACTAGATGATCTCTAAGGTCCCTTCCAGCCTAGGCCGTTCTTTGGTTCTATGATTCCAATCCTTACAGAGCTTGAACCTACTTCATAAGGTAGGGTCTACTTTATCAAAGCCTTTTGAATTCCTCCACGCATCCCCAGCAAAGCACATGGGCACCCGGTTGGCTTTACGTGCCCTTTCACACTGAGCTGGGGCACAAATTAACGTTAAGCATCTGCTGCAGTGCTTTGCTGAGCCAGGGGCTGCGGCAGGGATGGCTGCTGCCAGACGAGCTGGGAGGGAGAAGCCTGGAAAGGAGTCTCTAAAACAGTGCCATTGCACACAGCTGAGCTTTGGGAGTCAGAAGGAGTGGGTGACACTTTCCAAAGGACTTGATTAATTACAGGATAGAAGCACCAGTTCACTCACAAGATGTACACAGCAGAAAAACCTAGCGGCACCGTGACAGAGCAAGGCAGAGGGATGAGGCAGGCCATGTTTTCCAGTCACCTGCTGCATTAGTTTGTGCAACACAGCCGGTGTTTCGCTTGGAGGGAGCCAACAGGGCAGCAAAGGACCTGGGTGATCTCAAATGTGAGCCTCAACCCTAATAGCAATGAACCAGAGGCAACGGGCTCGCAGCACAGGCAGTGGGAGCTCACAGCCTGGCACTGCTGGGAAGGAGAGCATAGAGGTGCGCTCAGGTGGTGGGCTAGACCCCTGAAAGGGGAGAGCCAAACCTGGCTCCAAATATAACAACTTCCAGCTGTATCTGACCAAGTGCAGAGGAAAATGAGCTCAGGAGGTTTCCCTGGGAGGTACCTCTGAAGGGCTGATTCCTGCCCGCAGGGAGAAAATGCTCTCAAGGCAGATGGACAAGACCAGGTTCCTGCAATCAGAGCACTGATAGAGAAGTCCTTAATGGGGAGGGATACGGATGGAGGGACTGACACGGACCCTGCCGATGCATAACGGCGTCGCTGGCAGATACCTCATGTGGCTAAGGGCTGGGAAAACAAGTCCTTTGAGAGAGAGAAAATTCGCATGCTGATGCTGGTGCAGCCAATTCCCTGCATGGAAAGGGCACGTACCCATGAATTTCCTGGATGGTCGCAAGAGCTGCCTGGATGGCACCAGGAAAGCAAAGAGCCTGATTAGAAGCCTGTGAAGTCCTTGTCAAAGCATCTTGAAATAACGCAGTGTCTACACACCTCAGAGGTATATCTCAGAAAGTAATTCCTGGAAAGAGGAGTATGAGGGCTGTTACAAACACCAAGAAAGCTTTTTCTAGGAAAAAGTCCATGCAAACTCCTGCATAAATACTAAGCTGCACTAAATCCAGTGTGGCTCTCCCAGCCTGAGGACAAACACGTGGTTTGTTATTAATCACTGTTGTTATATTATGGATGCTTGAGGTCCCAGATAACCGAAATTCTGCTGCGAGACTGTAGATCTGATTTTAAAAGAACAGGCCCCTCCCACCCCCACACCCCCTCCCAGAAAAAAAGAGAAGAAAATATTCCTTTCTTTTCACTATCCTGTCCTGTCTGCAGCCACAACAATGTTGACATTCTGCCCGTTCCCATCTATGATTATCTTTCAAAAGTCATTTTAATAATTTATAAAAGTGGTGTTTTTCCCTTCCAGTTTCTGACCTGGTAAGTCAGTTCTTCTACAAGACTTACAACCAAGGAAGCACGAGGGAGAAACGCTGTTCTTGTTAAAATTAATGTAGCTAAGGGAAAAATGGAATTCCCAGAATTACAGCTCGTAAACCAAACTACCAATGCAACTTTTTCCATTGCATGTTATTTTACAGCTGCAGATTTTGCTTCTTCTCCTCTTAGGACTTTTCTTTTTTTTTTTTTTCCAGCTTATTCAAAGCAAGACCGCTGTTTCAATGAAGGCAGTGAATGCATTAAAAAGTCACAGTATTATTTTTACAAAGGCTTGACTGCCATCCAATGAGTTCGAAGCTGAAGAATTACTTCTAAGCAAAATGTCTTCTCCAAAGAAAACTGGAAGCTGCTAGAAGGTAGAAATGAAACCCTGCCTTGAGGGCCAGTCCCAGTGGCCCATTTCAAGAATGAGTAACCGAGAGACTTGGTACTCAGCCTCTCTACAAGCATGAATTTTACCAAAGCAAATGCAGACAGCCAGTCCCAGAATTCCACAACATCCAGGTTTACAACCTCAACATTTTAGCAGGAATTATTTTCTGCATGAGTCTGCATGAATCTGCTCTTTCAACCCAAAATGCGATCAGGTGTTATCCGGGTTTCAACTTCATTACTGTGGTTGTTTTGTGTGACATTAGGAAAAGTTTACACACATCTTGATGGGTCTGGAAAGGGACCTGTGAGCTAAGGTGTGCTATTTTACAAAGATATTCAAAGATCAATAAATAACCAGCATCTGAAAAACAGGGTCTACATAAATAGAGGTATTCCACACCAGTAGCACAGACTAGCAGAGTTTGGCCTGAGAGTGAGCACATGGCACTCATAAGAGGACAGCTCGACCTTCATACACTGTGGTAATGCCAGCTAACGTCCCAAATACCTGAAGAGGTCCCTAACTGCTGAGGTATTGCTGTGTGCCTCTCCCTTCTCCAAACTCTTCAGAACATAAGGGGATGCTTAAACAAGCCTGTGAGAGCTTGCAGTTTTCTCTACGAAAGCACTAGTAGCAATACAGCCAAGGAGTCTCTTTTTTTCAGTAAAATTCCTGGAGGAGTAGGAAGTCTATGCAGCTGTAGGCAGAAAAGCAGAAACCGGTAGCCCGCGCCACCATGGAGTTAATGAAAAGTGATGTGCAAGATTCTACTATTCCTGAACAGGCAAAACCAGACAGGAGTCAATGGGTTTCTACGAACCTCTGGCTAACCCTAGTGAAAACCAGTTTTGTCTGGGAAGCAAACAGTGCCAGAATGCTACAGAGCACTGAGGGTGGGCAACGGAGAAAAACTGTGACATCCTGACACACAGTCGGCTGGCCTTCAAGGTATGTGTATGTTCTGTCCTCGATGCACATAGATTAGGACAAGATTCCTCTTTAGGATTAGGACAATTACGATGGATTCATTAGGTATCTTTGAACCGAACCCCAGCCTTTCATCATCATCATCTTCATGTTTGCGTAACTCCTGTTGACACCAACGGCAGTTAAGCATCACCGTGCATCGAGGGAAGCGGGAAATCACAAGCGACAGCAGTCGAGAAAGTGTTCAGCTCTGTTACAGTTTCCCCAAGCGGTGCGCTCATACATGCCCACGACAAGGTTCGCAGTCTGAGAGAAGCCTCTGCAGCTGAGGGTCCCCCACTTCCAACACCAGCTGAGTCTCAGAGGAAGGTGCAGCTCCTCCAATCTCCCTTCGCAAACCTGGCCAGGATTTCTGCATAACACCTACGGCCTTTTCGGTCATGTTTGTCTGTTTAGTCATTACTACAATTCATGCTGGTGAAATGATACCGTAAAAAGGTGATGCTACTTTTGAAACACTGAAATGAACGTTCACCGTATTCACAGCTGCTGAGTAAAATTAGGACAGCGATAAAAGGTTAGACAATGACATTTAATGTTACTCCATTAATAGATTTTATCACTTTTTTTATCCTACCACAACAATGTGTATTTTCATATACATTATATTTAATAAAATGTGTTGATATGGAATTAGGAAAGCATGGGTTTAGTACTATTTACATATTTTAATTGAAACAATTTTCTTAACAACATTGAAAAATAGAAACTTAAAGTTCTCTTAATTGTGTTTTCAGCCAGTTAGTGGTAAACAAATGCATGCCTAGGAAGTTACACTCCCTCTAAAATGTGGTCAGTTGAAAGTTTCTAACTAAAGTGTGCATCTCTGTTCTGTTTCAAAAAATACATAAGTATGTCTGTCATTTCTGATACAAAATTCTACACTATCTTCAATAAATAAATAATAAAGCGATTCTGAAAAGTATGAAATGTAAACTTTGTTGTCCCTCCAACATACATTTTTTTTTCCCATTGCTTGAAACATTACAGTGGTCTTTTAGGAAATTATAATACACAGACACTTCCCAGCACAGTTTACACTTATTACCATACTGTATCTACCTATCCGTTATGAATATATCCTAATTTCCTAATGGAAATCAATAAGACTCAGAGTGCTAGAGAACACCGCCTATACAGGAAAGGTGGAAACCAGTACTGAAAGGACATGCAAGGAACACCAAAACCTAACAACAGGCTCCACAAGAACGTTCACATGCTAATGAAACAGGCTGACACCTTCCGTTCGGAAATGAAGTCCTTACAAAAATACCAGTGTATGCATGATAGGTCATGAACAAAATGAATCCGAGCAGAACAAAGAGGAATTTTACTCTTAGGGGCCTATTCCCTCTCGAGTCCAGACTCAGCAAAGCACTTACGCACGTGCTTAAGGGAAACAAGACGTAAGTGCACGCTTGAAGTTGGTGCTTGGCCAAATGCAGGGAAAGTTTGCTGGACGTGGGCCTGTATGTGTGTATTCATGGAGTTAAATGGATATATAAGCCCTGGCACTCCCCACAGGACAACAAGGCTTTTACTTTGGGGTTACCCACTCTGCACCACCACAAGCCCTCTGTCTCTGGTCTCTGGTCAGATCCCCTATCGCTGCCACCAAACCTGCGATCACCCCAGCTTGCCGCAACCACCTCTGTGAGCTACGGGACGCTGCTGCCCCGGATTCAGTAATGCGGTGTCAAACACAGTTAGGCACGGTACAATTTAATAACTGGCCAGCACTGATTGCTTTGCAAACTAGACTCTGCAGGGCAGAAATTAGCTTCCTGAGCTAGAGTAATGAATTTTTTTCTTTTCCTTCACCACTGCAGGTGACAGATCATCCATCCACCTGCGGTCACACAATCAAGCAGCAGTAGTAAAGGAGTATCGGAGTGCTATAGCACGACATTCAGCAGGGCTCTATGTTTAATCCTTCGCTTACTGTTCAAATATCTACAGTCCTCTAGAAAAGCAGCAACTTCCAAAGGTGCCGAGCGGGTGGGCACTTCTCAAGTGCCATTCATCTCTGTGCAGAAGGCCTGTACGCATTTTATTTTCAGGGGCGACGTGAGTCATGAAGTGGTATGTTAATAGAATCTTCTCTGTTTATAGATATAGACTATTTATTTTCTAAGTCTCTTCAGTGCCATCACAAAGATCTTCAAAGATCTTCTTACTGCGGAACTGCTCCTTCCATTCACATTACATTTACACATCACTTTGCTGAGCAACAGGCACAGAATTCCTTAAGGGGGAAAACCCTGCAGAAAGCCTCCAAAACCTACCAACATTGCCTTCTCCATGTACATTAAAAAGTAGGGTAACTGGAGCAAGAACAGCAACCTATGTGGTTTGCCAGTCTTTCAGACTGGAGCACAACAAACAACCGGGTTATTTCATAAACCCAGGAATCTAACGTCAAGTTCCACATAGAGAAATTGAGGGAGATCTCCTCACTAAACTGGGATTCATTTTTCAGTGAGAATTATCAAGGCACAAAGATGCTCCTGTTTGCTTTGATAACCCTCTTACGTGTGAAGGGCAAGCAGTAGTTTCATACCACACCAGCAAGGATTTTGTGACATCTTCTGCAGGTGCCTATCGCAGTGAACTCAGACTGAAATAAAACATTGGTCCCTTTCCTTCTAAGGCTCATCGAACAATTGCAGGTCTAGTCGGACGACTATTTCTCCTGTTGGGACTTCATGCAGAAGGAGACACTTTGTAACTGGTCCCTTTGAACCCTGATCCTTCTTAATGTCTGCGACACGGATCTCTGTTCTGCCCAAAAAGTCTGAAATGCAAAAAGACAGCACGCTCAGAAATGGCACAACTGTTTTATGTTGCAATAAAATGCTAATTCGCAGGAGTTAAGCTTCCATCTAAACGAAACAAAAGAAGAAAACAAGTCTTTGGTCCAACTATTTTTTTGCAGTTGAAGAAGGCCAAGGACTGCCAATCCGCAGAGACAAGGATTTTAGCTAGACCCCATTAGACAGCAGCAGCATTAAAAGTAAACGGTACCATAAGCAGAAAAATCCACTGTGTAATTTACAGCCATCTTGCTTCAGCAGCTTATTTATTTTATGATACGTTAGAAAAGAAGCCAAAGGCCATGGCACAGTTCAGACCGAGTGTGAAGCCCTCTGGAGAGGATGGTGTCAAGTAGTGCATCACACCAGCAGTGAGGTCAATGGACCAACTGGCGCTGGCCACATGAGTGACAGTCCTAACCAAATACTTCCCAAGAGATTATGCCTCCAAAATACACTCTTCAATGCTCCGTTTGTTTATCCCAGGTTATAAAATAAGAATAGGTTAGGAATCCTGGATTCACTTCTGCCACTATTATTGCATATTAAGGGAACTTCATGACATTTCTTTCCCTCCTGCATTAATCTATCCATCTGTAAACAGCACCCAGAGGTTTTTTAACACTTAGCAGAATTGCAAACCACATTTTAGTTGTTGTCAAGCTGCACAAGAAAGGAAACTCCCCCAAAAACCAGACAGTGCTACAATCCTTTTATGCTGATACTAGATGACTCCACTGGGGAGACAAAGGTGAGTAGGTTCCCAGTATACAGAGCGTTGGAACTCGATGATCTTTAAAGGTCCCTTCCAACCCAAACCACCCTTTGGTTCTACAGTCGACCTTAGCAGGCCTGTACCTCTTCCAAACGGGAGATTTCAAAACGCCCTTAGAAGGGCGGCAGCCCGCTACGTACCATCTGGGGAGAACTGGTCCCTCTCAAACACCGTGATGCAGAGCACGTCCTGCTCCAGGTCTTTGATGAAGAACTGGCAGTTGGAGTTCCACTTTGGGTTGAGGGTGTCCTGTATTGTCTTCGTAATGTGGCACTGAGAGCCCATCGTCACCTCGCAGTATGGGTTACTCTTTCCTGGTATGATGGAAACAAACAGAAAACAGTAACCGCATTTTTAGGCGTGTGATCTTCCTCCTAAATATCCTTCTGCTCCTACAGTTGATGCACAGGAGAAAGACTGTGGCCTCAGAACCATTATGATGAACAGGGACACTGCTCTGCAAGGTGCTGAGCACCTTCCACTCTTCATTTCAGGACCTGATGACTTACAATCTCTTACAATATGGCTTATGTGGCAGAAATTAAGTTTGTCTAAAACAAAAGCTTAATGCAGTACAACCGTATGACTACTACTGAACTGCACAAAATCATTTCTGCATATTTTAAGTTCATTAAAACTGCTTCATTAAACAAAAACATGTTTTGGACAGAACTTCCTTCAAAGCTAGTCTGATAAACCACGCTATGAAAAAATCGAGACACTTACCATGGGACCTGCAAGGTTTTAATTCAATGCCTTCAACAATATTCACCATCAACCTCCCAATGCCTGTTGCTCTTTGTGAGCGAACTGCGGTGAAACAAGAGGAGAGAGAAAAGTCATTAACGTATTTTCCTGCCCATGGATTTTTCCACAAAAGATGAGACCTCCCTGCCATCCCATGCTGTACCTAGGTAGGCTTTTTCCCTCTTCTTCTTTTCAGTCTCTATGTACAGTTCTGAAGCAGCTTTGATCTTCTGAACCCAGGCAGTCCTTCAGAAGGAAGGGAAAGAAAAAAGTTACAAAATATTATTTTAATGTTTCCTCCCTGGTGCACAGCAGCCGAAAGTAAAGCTGTCCCTCTTTCCCAGCCAAGTCTCTGACCCCATCACAGGCTTTGCTACATTGAATCTGTCTGCCTGGAAGAAATCTCACTGGAGTTTAGAGCACTTACAGGAATTTAACAGTCCCAAGCCAGCAGATCCCACTACACAAAGCAAGCTCAAGAGAACTGCAAGAAGGAGGAACTTGGTGAGAAACCAAAAGGTATAGATAATAGGTTTGCTTTCATCGAGCCTTTTGCTTTGTTGTAAAAAATTATCTTCTTGTAGCCAGCAGATACAAGACAGCTGTGTTGCAGACATGGCCACTTTTCTTGACCCCTGAGGTTTCATACCAAAATCCTTCTAAGCCTTGGGACATACGAAGCATAACTCAGAGAGTACACAGATGATGAATGACCTTGGTTCCCTACTGGGCATTTTATATATAGTCAACTGAAAGACTAACAATGAAAAAGCATGGAAGAAGGGTACCAAGGGATCTTAAGGCTTTAGAAGAACTGCTGTGACATACAAGAGAGCCTGAGACCCAAACCAAGGCATAATGAGAGAGTTTAAAAGTTGTGGATCCATTTCTGATCCAAAAATGAAGGGCTGCCACTCTAGAGGGCATTGCTACTTACTCTGGCCTGGATTTGGGTCTAAACACTCACCTGTACTCGGCATAGAGAGCTGTTCAAGAAAACAAAACACTTAAGGATAATTCTGCTTTCCAGCTCAGCCCTAAATGGTAAATGGCAGCTTCAGAAGTAAGTGAAGCCTTTGATCACAAAGGTCTTTTAAGATTAAACTGGCAAATTAATCACTCATTGATGCTAATACATTATTTCTGAGGCTCTTAGTTAAAAGCAAGTGAATAATGGAAGTACCTCACTTAAAATGCTGCATTTATTATAGTAAGCAATTCTGGCACAAAAGACAGTCAAAAGCTGTATCTCTTATAAGTAAAAGCATTTGACTACAGTGTCCAAATTTGGAAAGCAGTCCCTGTGGGTTCTCTCTGCAGTGAATGGAGAGAGGCAGGCACCTTCAGAGGGCTTCAGTATATGAAGATCTGGCTTCTTCCACCAGTGGTTCCCTGTAGCACGCAACAGAGTGCAGAGTTTAGATGTTTCTGACTACTGCTGTGAGTGCTCTGACACAGAACAGATGGTTTTGCTATAGTCTGATTCGTGCAACGGATCCCAAGTTGAAAAGGCTGTGTCAACTTTCATTGCCAAGGGTTTAACCACAATGCTCATCCGCTCGATGGCACAGCGGGACAGACAGCACCCCAAAGGACAAATGGGATCCATAAAAGTACAATCTTTTGCAAGAAAAACTATATGCATAAATAATATTGAATAACACTGTCAGGCAGGCAGGAAGTAAAGATTGTCTATATTATGGGGGAGGGGCCTGTGGCACTTTCAGCTTTCATTTTTTAACAAAAGTTATCTTCCAAGGCCTTACAGTATAAGGCCTTTTCAGTACAAGACAGCATAATCCTGTCTCCATAAGCTTGCCAGAAATAAAAATCACCAGCTGAGGTTTTGAGACTGTCATTCCTTTAACTGTTTCAGTCTGAATTGAATTGGATGAAAAATAACTGGGTTTAGTTTGTTAGGTTTTTGCTTCAAGTTCTAATTCTGACCTGTTTCTCAATGTCATTCAACATACAGCCATACAAACGCGTGCACTGGCACAAACAAAAAGATGTTAACAGAATAATTCCTCCCTGGAAGTGTCCAAGACCAGGCTGGATGGGGCTTTGAGCAACCTGGTCTGGTGGGAGGTGTCCCTGCCCGTGGCAGGGGGTTGGAACTGGATGATCTTTAAGGTCCCTTCCAACTCAAACCATTCTGTGAGTCTATGATTCAATGAAGATAGGATTGCATCTTTTGGCTGCCTTATGCTAACATAAAATGTTGTGAAATGACCTATATGACCTTTCCTAGCCATTTCACTGTCGGTCTTACCAGAAACATCATTATTTCTCCCTGCTTTTCATATATTCATTATCAGCTTATTCTCAAGCAGAAGGAACTCTCCAGTCTTGTGAGATAAACTGCTTGGAGACTGCTGTGCACATGTACACCACATATGTTTGCGCCAGACTTGTCAAATTCAGCACTAACCTGGCCTGTGCAGGTACTCACCTTTCATTAATGCTTTCCGCCCGGAGCGTATAGACTCTATCAATGTGGGAGATATGGAAGATGGGCTCATCTCCAGAAGGGTCTGTGGGTAATTTTACTAGTACTTCATTAAGAAAAATGGGCTGTAAAACATTAGGCAAAGCTGGAGTTCTACCACATAATTCTGAACAGATACATTCAACACAGAGCAATGTACAACAGATCCATCTTGTGCATGCAGCATCTTTTCCCTTCTGCCTGCCTCCTATCTTTCTCCAGAAAAAAAAAATTTAAAATCTTATTATCAAAGATATAGGTGCCTCCAGAGTCTGGGAACACTTCTGAAGTAATCAAGCAGCCTCATGAAGCATCGCAATCTCTCCTTGCCCACAAAGAGCGGCAAGCACTGCTCCCCCCATCACTCCCTGACACATGTGACCTCTTGCTGCAGAGGTCTTTTTAGCAAAACTTCAAAAGCATCTTTTCTTATCTCGCTAAAGCAAACAAACAGCTTTCTCACCATCACTCCCTGGAATCCTCAGCATATGCCAAAGCTTTTAAACCTCTTCTATATAAAGCTTACTGCCCACACATTTGGTATGGGAGCTGTTGCCCGCTATAGGCTCTGTTAAAGTACAACCGTCTTAGTTGCCATTTAAGAGCGGTACTTACAGTTTTGTACATTTTGTATTGCAGATTAGACTTGGGGCTGAAGACCTTGTCTGTGCCAGAAGAGCCAAGAGGTTTTATGATCTGAGTCAGGAGGAGGAAATCGTTGAACAGAAAGCCATACAGTTCCTTGTTACTCTTGGCTTTGTAGAGCTTCCCACTGTGCAGAAACTTGCGCGGTCCCAAGCAGTTTGTAACAGAATTAAATACGAGTTGCTGCGAAAAGTAGAAGAAGAAGAACAACGCACTGTATAAAGTAAAACAATCGAGGTTCCCCTGAAAGAGATCAAATATAGTTTTGAGTCCTGACATTGATTTCCATTTGTGTCACAGGGATGACGAGCAATGTCTCTGCCTCGCGCAGGATAAGCAGTGCAATTCATAGAAAGGCTACATGAAAAAAAAGTTTGAGGCAGCCCATCAGTTGCACGGGGCATGGTCTGGACAGTCCAAGACAAGCCAAAAGCATTTGTGCCTCCTTTTGAGTTTCTCTGCCATGCGCATGCATCTCCGTGAGTGGAACTGAGCTGAGGATGACTTGTCCTGGATTAGCAGTAGCTCTGCGAATAGCCTCTCCAAACACTGAGCTTTCTTAACAAGGACTGGATTTCTGAACTGTGTTTGAATTTCATCTGTTAAACACACCAAAGGAATTACAGGTAGCTGGTCTTTGTTCACCCACAATACCTGGGGTTGGAGGACAGCTGCTGACCACTGGCTGGAACTGGCAGAATTTAAGACTCATCTGCAGTTTGTTACCAGATGAGTAGAGGCTTTCCCTTTCCTAAAGTGGTATTTTCAGGTTTATTTTCACTAGGTGGTGGTACAGTTTTTGCCATCTCAGTCAGTCAGACAGCGAGATCTGGAGTGGCTCCTTTTGCAGACAGAAAACCAGGGGAAGGCTGGATTGTTTCTCGCCACAGATTCAGGGCTGCAGCTACTGGCACTACTGTGTCAGAAGGAGGCCAGTTGGTCTTTCAGGTAATATTTTTGGTGTCCTAGGGCCGATATCATGTAAGGAAGATAAAAGCAGCCACCTTCATTCAGGTACTAGTTGTAGGACAGCTAAATGTGTCTTTGACCCTTTAGAGATTGTCATGCATGTATTTCCCCTGAAACAGTTAGATTTCATAAGATGTAATGCAATTATTTCCAGTTTATAAACCAACCAGCTCTAATTACTTTTTTATCTTCTGGAACTGAAAACTCAATGCATACTTTGAAAATCAAGTTGTGATCTGTCTGCCTCTATTATCTTCACCAACAAAATATCCTCCATCCTTCTGCAGGACATACCGACACAATATTCTCATTATAGTTTCAGTAGAGAAACTTAGCATGGGACCTGAAAAAATAACATGTAATAGGAGGCAGTGATTCTCTCTGTAAAGTCTTGAGAGGGATTTGATCAGTATTCTTGAGTTTTCAAAATGTGTACCATTTTTTCTCAGGAAAAATATTTTCTGTGATGAGTTTTAAAGCACTCCAAAGTGGTTAGGTATAGCTTCAGGAGTACAAGAAGCATTGGATTTTAAAGAGCTATGAAAATGGAAAGTCATGATTGAAAATTGCAGTGCTGAACCTGGTGCTACTCCAGAGCCAGGCAACAAAAGCAGCGTTTATCATATGGAAGGCAGTAACACGAGCAGCAAAAAGTGTCACATGCAGGGGTGAAAGGGAGCCAAAGAAAGACGGAAGCAAAGGATTGAAGATTATATGACTTGATTAATTACACTGTTTGTCCCCTGATGCAGTGCCATAAGTGAGCCATGGTTTCTTCCCGACTGGTGGAGAAGTGCGCCCACATTTGCGTTACTCTAGACAGGACTTTGTTTACCTCCGACAGGCCTTCACACTGAACGTGAGCCTGGATCCACTCCAGTCTATCTGAATTTTCCTTCTCCCGCACGCCTTCGTTTACTTGAGAACATAATTCTTCTGCTTTCTCAAGAGCATGCTTCAAGTGACTGTGGTCAGGGTGGTTTTCGGGAGTGTTTTCTATTATCTACAGATAAATAAAATACATTAGCCTTATCCATTAGCTGCAGTTAAAGTGCACTCATATTGTCAACCCTATACTTCTGTTTTATTTCTTTATTTTCATCAGAGCCAGCCAGTATGTTCCAAATTTCCTTTCCTCCTTGACAAACATGAAAAATAGGAGACAAACTCACAGTTTGTTTATGGATAGCTGCAATAAACTCCTGCCTGCAGAGCCTTTGCATCAGTACACTGCTCACTCTTCTGATGTAAGTATGTAAATTCCAGCCACATACAGAAATACATCCGTGCCTGTTTAAGGAATCTCTTAAAGGCCAACATCCAATTTACGACTCTTTCCTGCGAAAGTCTTGGGCCAAGTTCAATAGCATTATTCGGGATGGTAAGCATTAGGTGACAAATGAAAGTTAGGAAAGGGTTGTAAGTTATCCAGCAACTTAAGCTGTGCAATAAGGCAACTTGCAACAATTTGGCATTCAGGCTTGCACACTGAATGCCTTTTCCCAGGCTAGGCGGAGGGAATGACACTGTGGAAAAAGGCAGAGATGAGCATAAGATCAACCCATTACTCCTGTTACCCGAATTTTCAAGTTTTCATTTAGCATTTATGGACTTCTGGTTCTTTGTGTGAAAGCCTTGGCCTTTTTTCTAATGGAAGTACCAAGTCATTTCACAGAAGCCATATGAGTTACTGCATGTTCTTCAGTGAGATCAATACAAAAGGATACCCCACGTTCCCTGTTACATCGGATATCTAACAGTGACCAAGTCTGACACAAATAGGGAAACTACCCTGCAATTAAACTCTGAGCAAAGCAGCACCAAACCCATCGTCTTTGCAAAAGAACGTACATTTTTAATTATTAGTGGGTATCTTGTTACCCGTTGCATAGGCTTTAGTAGAAAACTTGATAGTGGCATTCCTTTACAGCGAGGATCCATTGCTAACCTCTGAAACATTAGAGAGGTAAAATGGTGTTAGTCAGTTTGTTTAAAACCCTGCAAAATGAGCTCCTCCAAGAAAGGAAAAGGTAAGGCAACAAATGAATATCATGCCCCAGCTAAGTCCATTCTTAGATTGCTATGCCAGTGCAATAGAATGTCTTGTATTTTTTACATGTTCTTCACCTGCCTTGCCTGTACAAGAGAAGGGCCTCTGCTTACTGTCCCAGCATTTAACAGCAAAACCATTATTAAACAAAGTACTTTATGGCTTGATAGTTGTATTCCTTCAACGAAAAGATGTATTCCTTCAATGAGCGCTTGTCTAAAGATTCTTCATTCTAGCCCAACACAGGGCGCTATCTGAGACTATGCCTCGCAAATTAGCAAAACCATATGCTAAGTTTACAGCATCCAAAATCTATGGTGACTGTGGCTTCTCTTACTTTAACAAACTCCTTGAACTCGGGGACTTCATCTGTCTTCTGCTGGATGAGCGCTGCCCCATTGAGCTGGCAGCTACAGAACCGAATGTAAGGCTGCATGTGTGGCAGCTGAGCTGTCAGTATGTCACCAATCATCTTCACGGGCATCTTCTCCCCAGACATCTTCTTACGCACACGCAAAGCCCTGAACAGGAAAAGGTGATGTGTGTTTTATAAGTAGACCACTAAAGAACGATTCCTCACTTAAGAAATAAAATGGTTTGATTTCTTACTCGTTATTGAAACAAAGGGACCCCTGAATAATAAAGAGATCAGCCACAAGATTTATTGCGTACTGTAAGAACACAGTAATCAAGATTACACCCCAAGCCAACACCTTTCCCTCTTGTGGTAACCAAACTGTTATTTGACATGAACTTAATGCAATGCCAGATCAGATACAATATAAAAAGGAATGCAATTTCCTTTTCTATTAGTTTATAAAGAAAGTAACAGGTAACACTCCTCAATGAGGGAAAAAATCCTTACCACTACTTTAAGCTCAAAGCTACTTCTCATTTTTAGCCTGGTTTCCTAAGGAAAGGAGATGTACTGTCATTGAGCTGCCTGCATTTGTCCTCAATTTGTGGGTCATTTTCAAATATATTTTACAAAAAAAGGGAGATATCTCAAAGTTATAAAATCCCTGTAGGTTCAATGAAAATTGCAGGTCAGCAGGGAAAAAAGGAATTTTCTCAATCCTCTTGCTTATGAAGATGAGGGTTTAATTCAACCCTCACTCAGTTTCTCCAGTCATGACCAGATGATCAACCTGTGTGCACGTGCCTCCAAACCAAACACAGCTGGAGCAGCAGGCGTGAGCGAGAAGGACGCAAGCAGGAAGAAACTGGATCCATCAGAAGCCACAGAGAATGAAGGGAGAAATGAGGGTACTTGAACTGCATGGAGTTTCATGGTAGTGAGTTGGGGCTGCAGAAGTTGGAGGTGTTGGGAGGAAGGGTGCAGGGCACGCTGAACACAAATCCAGAGGAAACCAAGCTTCGTTGGTGCTACTTCTCACAAAACAGCTCGTCCAGGTGCTGTAAGCCTACAATAACTAAAGGAATGCATCAGCTAACTCGGAATAAGGGAGGCAGACCTCGTTGTGCCTTGTTTAGCATTCAAGGATAACAGGACTGTAACTGGGTACGGGCTGCAATAATGGAAATAAAAATCTAAGGCAGGACTGTGGGTAACCTTGTCAGGCATCGCTGCTCAGGAGTAGTCAAGTAGATCTTGCTATCTGGAGTGCATGTACACCAAGAGCAAAGTAAGTGCAAATACTTACTCAGCAAAGAAGTGCTGTATTTTTTCTTGCGCAACAACAGTAAGTCACAGCAAGCACTTAATATTTTGTTTTTTCCAACGAGGGAAAAATGCATGGCCCTTTTTGTTACTATTTGCATAAGTGGTAAATATTTTCATGCAGCTAAAAGGAGAAGCTGGGGGGAGCGGCACAGGAATTTGTTATTGAGAAGTATGGGGGGAAAAAAAACTTACTTCAGTAGTTTTATATTGCACATAATCAGCTCCTTCCAATTAACAAAAATCATAGCAACTTCTTTTTCCGTTAGCAGCTCAGATTCCATTAGTGGCTTCTGGAAGATCTACAGATTAAGAAAATCAAGCAATTTAGAAAGTATGTGGCAACTACAATCAAAGCGACTAAGACTGATGATGCTCATTTCCTCAGGTTGGAGGTGAGAAACCTTTACATCAGAGAGTAGCGCTTGACACTCAGGGGAACAGACTTCAAACATGTGCTGGGCCCTAGAGATCCACAGTGTTCCCTGAGAACGTGTTTGTGAGTGGCATTAAAAGAGGCTTTAGAAGAGAATATCCTAAATTTGTGCTGGTGGTGTTAATTATGACCTGGATCAGCTGTTAGAAACATAGGAATTTTAGTCAGAGGTCTCCTCCAAAATATCCCAAGATTACTTTAATAACACAACTGAAAATACATCTTTGGACTCCTTTGTGGAAGAGGTTACAATATATCTCATAGTGTCTCAAGTTTGCCTATGTTGACCTCTTTTTCAAAAAAAGGCTTTCCTCTTGTCAAGAGAATTCTCTAAGAAAGTTGCCTGTACTAATTCCTTTCTCTTCCACACAAGACAGGCACCTTGTAGCATTTTAAAAAAATCACAGTATGTGATAACTGAGCACCACAGTGAATGTGCAAAATGCACTTTAAGAACTTAAACATGAAAAATAAACATTCAAAATCAGGAACAAAAAGAACAATACTTTAAACATCTGTTTTGGTGACAGTGACCAAGAGTTTTACATTAGTTGCAACACACCATACACATATGCATATATATCTCTATACAGATAGATAGAATAGAATCATAGCACTGTTTGGGTTGGAAGGGATAAAGTTCATCTAGTTTTGAGCCCCTTGCCAGGGGCAGGTACTCTTCCCATTAGACCAGGTTCCTCAGAGGATCATTCAGCCTCATCTTGAACACTTCCAGGGCGGGGGCATATATATGAAATTTAATACAGGTAAGCCCTAGAAAGTCAAACACGGCAGTGATATGAGTTTGCACAGTGAAATTATGGATTTGTTTTAAAAAGATGAGTGATTAAAACCTGCTCCTAAAGCTGCTGTACCGTCTTACCTCTGTGACCAACTGCAGATCATTTACATAGTTCTCTTCTGTGACTATGAGCTCGTGGATGTATCCCTGCCTTTTCCTTTCGGTAGGTGTCAACATATCCAGAAGATGCAAGTCTGCACACCCTGGAAAACACAAGATGATCCTAGATTTTACTTACAGTCATTGGCAAACGGATTCAGATCTGTAGCAGTTCCAATAACACTTAATGAACAGTAAACTACTGCCTGTTCAGTTCACTTAATCATTACTGACACATAATGGCACAAGGCTAACAATGCTTCAGGTCTTAGTGACTCAAAACACTGTATTTAACACCTATTTTTTCCCTTTTTTTAAAAAAAAAAAATTAAGGCCATTTCTAAGTGCTAGCTTTTCTCTGACAGCAAAGCTTAGAAGTCCCCCTCACTGCCACCAGCTCATTTCTAACCTCACTCTGAAGTTCACTGTCCTTTTTAGTTGGGTCATTCAAGTGAAGCCACACTGTAAAATAAATCTCAAAATGGATGGCTTTAATAAAAAAAGGGGGCAAAGACTTCATCTGATATAGCTGCCAAAAAAAAGGTAGGGATATCATAAAAAGGAACAGAATTGTTATAGTGACCCTAACGCTCTGATGGGAATTTTAGAATTATATACAAGCCCTCAACTTATTGATACGCTAAATGTATTTAAATTCATTTATCCTTCTAGTCAAGGCAAGCATCCTAAACAAGAAGGTATTGCAGAGCTTATTTACATCTTCACACTTCAATTAAAAATTCCTTCTAAATATTCGAAGGACTTGAGCCAGAACGCATGACAGTCAATGGAGAGCGCTCCACAGATTTCACTAATTTAGAGGCCAAGCCAAAGGGGTTGATTATTGTCCTCCTTTACCTTTAAAGGCATGGGACAAGTTTGTGACTAAGAACTCGTCTCCCAGCAATTTTGTCCTTTTATTTTTGCAACCCACTTCCTTTGTGCTTATCCCGTGTAGATGCCAGAATTTTTATACAAATTCTAGAATTGTAAATTTTATATTCTGGTCTGAATTAGAAGAGAACATTTAATTACAATTTTTTCTGTAAGATGGTATGTTTCAGCTGAGCTTAATTAAATTCTTCTGAGATCGGCAAACAACGTTTTCTTCCAGTTTCACTTTTAAGACTATTTGTATTACTTTTCTGCACAAACTAAAATACATTTCAAAAAGAAAAGATTATTTCAAACAGGTTGAAAACATTTTGCTTTATAAATGTACTATTTACAACTATTTCTAGACAATGAAAATTCTTCAGTTTAATTCTCTCCTTCCAGTTCTGACTGAAAAATACTCAAGAGGACTTTTGCTTCATGGGGTTTGAAATGGTCAAGGGGTTTTTTTATGTTGTTTAACAGCATCAGCAACGACCTCAATCTACTGAGACCTGACAGGGATGACTTTAGATCAGATGTTTGTACGTGCTTTCACGAAGTTAACCACTGCCGCTCCCAATCACATCACACTGCGAACAACTCGTTTAGTTCTTTGCATATAAAGTTAATAGTCAGATAGTATTTATTGCATTTTTAGTTTCCTTAATGTAACTCGAGCTGATTCTGCACTATGTCACTAGCAAGGTCCGCTTGTATTGCGATTAAGTTTTTCATGGACTACTTTCAACTGCTGTTTCAACTAATATGTGCTCCTGGAAAAGCAATGACAGATTTGATTGAAAAAATAACTAAAACGAAAAGAAAGACAAAGAAAAGTAGATACAGGGAGCCAAAGTAGTTTCATCTATGATTAAGAAGATGAAACCAGATCAGATTGGAAGCACAAGCATCCTGAGTAACTCTCCTTTGAGATATAGCACATTGCAGTACTTCAGAAGATGTGACCGAAACTTTGCTTGAAATGAAAAGCAAGTTTTGAGAATTATCAATTTTATGCCAAAGTAATTAAAGCACTACACACTTTTCAAAAGCCAAAAGTTCTATTTAATAAATGGATGCTTTCAGAGCACTTTCTCAGTTATCATGCAAGTCAGATGTCTAATAAACAGAACTAGTTCTCCCCTTGCACTGTCAGCTTCATTAAAAGTGAACAAAGTGTTTAATCATTTTTCTCTAGAGACTGAGGAAGTTCACTGTTCAAAGACGCTGATGACCTTGGTTTCAAGTGTGTTTTCCGACCACCAAGCTTTTAGAAGAAGCATTTAACATTTTGAATCGTAATATATTTCAGCGGCTACCTTGACAGCCAGCCAACTGGGATATAAATGGGCTACTCTGAACTTCAACAAATGATCTACTTTTGAACACTAAATATTTGGGAAAATAGCCTGCCTCAATCTGAGCAGAACATGCAGGAGACACTTTTCTGATTAGGGATTTTATTCATGAGATGCACAAGTACGAAGATTTTTCTTGTATTTGTAATAAAAACACTAAAGAAGAACTGGGCCCTTTCCAAGTGGGAACTTCAGGCCATAGGGCTCTAGCTAGTATTTCACGGACGCCAAAGTACTGGGCAAAGTACTTTTATGAACATCTAAATTCCACTTGCAGCTGTAATAATATCATTCATTAATTCAATGCACTAAAAGGGACTCCTGCAAGGGGCTAGAAAGCACCCTTGATATCAGACATTTCCACCGACAGATGGGAAAGCTCCACTGTGGGTGAAGTACAGGATCTCTTCGTAGAATTGGTTAATGTTTCTAACTTAAAGTACACAAGTCGATCTAGTCGAGAGGTGGCATCCCTGGCGACAGGGAGTCTGGATTAAAATGATCTCTAAGGTCCCTTCCAGCCTAGGCCATTCTATGATTCTATGATTCTAAGTCCCTCATGCATACAGCCATTCGAGTACTTAAAATCAGGCACTGGCATTTGTTTCTTCAGTTGAACATCCCATTCTTTCAGATTTTCTTTTCTGCTCTGAGTGCCGGATCCCACCTAGGAGGTGCCGAATTGGAATCCTTAGTTACACTCTAGTAAACACAGAAGAGAACGGGGAAATTACAATAGCTAACTTCGCAGGTGCACAGTGCTGTGCGTAGACAATTTTCTGCCCTTTAATTGAATAACCAGTACCTCTAATTGAATAACTAGCACCTCTAATTGAATACCCAAACAGAGGGATTTGCACAGACTCATCAGACTGGCTACTCTGTCTGGACTTCGAGAACCAACATACAAATGCTCTAAATAGAAATTTCTGCTTTGACCTCCTAACACCATAGGACCCATAGGATTAAGGGATTCTAGAAATGAAAAAACAATTTCAAATATCATTCTAGGAAGCAAACATGTTGTTCCTTTTCCTTACAAAGTCATCCCTGGAAGCACAGGTCTCACAAGCTAAGCACTACGCTTGAAAGCAATGCACAAGATACTGCTTTTTCAGCTGTGGAATTTGCTGATCCATGTACATGGGCATAACTTCTGAGTTCTTCTAATTTGGGAAGATTTTTTAAACAATGTAACTGCCAGATTTCCCTGTAAATCTCATGCTGGCCCAGTCCATAATGACAAGATCACAGTAGACATGAATCTGTTCTATTACAGGGAACCAGAAGCAGTAAAAAATTACTTCACATTTTTCCTCCAAAACCTTAAACACGAGAGAGTTGCACATCATGATAAGCATTCCTTCCCTCAGACAAATCACAGCATTTCACCATTCCAACTTCTAATCAACTTGCTTCAGATGCAGCCACCAGTTTCCCATAAATGTCTTGTCGGATGGACCCTCCACTGAGAGACTACCTCAGGCTTTTGCTGAGGACAGCACAGAGTCTGATGATATCTCTCATCTCAAGCTCCTGGCAGGGAGCAAAATCCCATTTCACAGCTTTATCAATGATTTCAGCCTGTTCAGAATTTCTCAGTTGGACTAGTATGTCCATTTATTGCTAGAGCATTGTGCTCCCCTCTGAGATGGATGGAAGTAGGATCTAGAAACAAGTCTGGAGAGTCCCACTTGCAAAAATATTAAGCAATACTTTGTTTTTGCCAAGACCAGTCACCACCAACACACGTGCCTCCTCCTCCGGTTTGCACCAGTCACCTATTGTCAGGTGGAGGAACTGCCACTGCCAGTCCACAGAGGCCAAGAAACAGACTCAAGGATCTTTCATAATAATCTCGGTTTTCCTTTTATTTTTAAAATTCTGGAAGATGCCCAAGTGCAGTCCTCAACCTGTGATATGCTACCACCATCTTCATTTTGCAATAGTAAAATTTTTCTGCAGTGTTTTAGGTCAGTAATTTACTTTCTATGGAAAAAAAATAGAAGTTTTAGTATTCAGTAGGGAAGGAGGGGAAGAAAACAGGTGAGACAGCTAGGAAGGAAACCTACTAAATCCTTCTAGAAAAAAAACAGAATATGTCTAACACTTTTTTTCCAGAATCTGCTTGGGAGAATAAAATCCTACACGTGATGGCATGGATGCAAAAAAAGATATAAATGGGCAGAGTTAACTGACTCCTGGACTGGCTTTTTTCACATTGGGTAGCTTTAAAGCTCACCTCTGAATTATAACTCGGGACCTATCTGACCACTTATTGTACCGTAACAGCAAATCAGTCAAGAGCATCAGCCTGGATCCAAGCAGAAGGAGCTGCACGGTCCAGTTTTATATTGTCTTTTGCAAAACCAAAGATGCTGCACAGGTACTTCACTTGGAATCAGAAATGTGGTAACTAAATGCAGCATTCTACAAGTTCAAATCTTTTAACAAAAATTTTTATTTTTTTCTTTTTTTTGTCACTTTCTCAGGCAAACCTCCAGCCATTATCTTTCCTGGATTCAGGTCTTTCTGTGCCTCCCCTCCAAAAAAAAACCCAACAAAGGATAAACCCCATGAATCTGGTTTCAGCCATCGGGGCCAGGTTATAGAAAACCTGCACCTGCAACGCTGATTGAGCCCATCTCTGAGCAGCACTCTGCCAGCACTGGCACCAGTTCCCAGCTGTCTGCTGGTGGGTACCCAGCTGAGCTGGCAGCATCTCAGAATCACAGAATTGTTGAGGCTGGAAAAGACCTCTGAGATCATCAAGTCCAGCCCACGACCCAACACCATCACATCAGCCAGACCAGGGCACTAAGTGCCACATCCAGCCTCTCCTTAAACACCTCCAGGGACGGTGACTCCAC